GCACAGGCCACGCCCTCCACGCGGCCTGAGCCGCCTTCTGGGCGCGGACGGCGCGCGAACAGCGAGCCGGGTAGACCCCGCCCCTTGAGCGGTTGCGCGGGGCCTTCTGGGAGTGGCCCGGCGCGGGGCGTGCTGGGAGTTGTGTCCTCTGCGGCGGTGCCTGCTTGCTGGTCTGTCCGGGAAGTGTTAGCTGCTGCTGCTGCTCCGTGCGATACGTTTGCTGTGCGGACTGTCTGTCCTGCCTGTAGCCGACTTTCTGTTTGCAGGCTCCAGCTAGCTAGATACGTACACACACACACACACACACACACACATAGCGAGTCCTGGCGCAGAACAAAGCTATGGCTTCCTGAATACGACTGCTGGCTGAGCTTGGTGCTGATAGCGCGGCCTGGCAGCAGGCCCCTTTACAGTGTTTCTGTTCCGGTCAGGCCGCCTGAGGTTGCAGTGGCTTCTAAAGAGCTTCACACAGCGGGCTGCTGGCTGGGCAAGTCCTGAGACACAGACCTCTGGTCTGCAGGTTAACCTCTGTAGGCTCTCTGCCAGTGGAGCAATGTGGGCCAGATCACATCACAGATTGTGAAGAAGTACAGGACCCCCATAGGTTCGACCAGACAGCAAAAGAGCAGTGTTTGTTAGGCTCCAAAGAAACCTGGGACAAGTACCACCTGTGGCTCCTTCCGGCACTTTTCACCCTACCGTAAACCCAGGGGCTGAGCTGAGCTTCCCCTAACTTCTATTTTCAGCCGCATGCTCTCTTGGTCCTAGGTCCTCTGTTCCTCCTTTGCCCTTTCTTCCTCTCTCACTCCCTCCTCCCTGTCCATGGCCAGGTTCAATCTGGACTCTTCCAGATGCTCTGGCTGTACTTTCCCCATCTACAATGAAGCCCTGAGCGGTCATGTCCTCATTTTCATTCATTTTTAAAGGTCGCAGGCACTGCTGTACGTCAGGTGCCGTTGTGGGCCATGACACAAATGCAGTAGATGATAACTGATAATTCAGATGTCCACCCACCAGATGAGTAATTCTCTGATGGAGAGAACCCTATGCAAGCAAGGCTTTCAGGACTACTGTCTCTGGAAACCACCTGCTTCTGTGTGTAAATTCACATGTGCAAAAACAGCCATGGAATCTCCCCATTACCACACATTTCCATGCAATTTGTACATGTAATCTCATAATTACATCTCAGTCTTATGCACACATATATCTGTGGGTAAGTCAGGAAAATGACTTCTCATTAAACTGTATAATTTTGATATATAGAAAATATACTAGGATATGCTTCATAGCCAATCTATTATTCCATGAGAACTGTAGGACACTTAGGCCCTGTTTTTTATCACCGGTTCAGACTGGCATAGAGAAAACAGGAATTTCTCAGTCCCAAGGCAAGCCACATACAATTTTTCGATTCAAAACCTCAAGAGCAAATTCAATCTAGACTCCTCATCTTACATAAAATCTCGTAGTTAATAGTATTGATTTAGTTCACAGAGCATTGGCTTTTCCCTCAGTTCTTTCTTTTTGGTTGAGACAGAGGCTCATTGTATGGCCTAGGCTGGCCTCAGATTCTGTTTTCCTGCCTCAGCCTCTCTAGGGCTACAATTATAGGCCTTCAATATCATACCCAACTGGAGTTAAAACAAGGGAAAATCCTAGTCGGGGTCCCATGTGGCCCAGCCTGACCTGGAAGTCACAATATACCTAAACTCCTAATTCTCCTGCCGCCATCTCCCAAGTGCTAGGATTATAGGCATGCGCCACCATACTGGGTTCTGTAGTACCGGGACTGAGCACAGGCCTCGTGCATGCTAGGCAAGCACTCTAGCAATGGAGCTATCTGCCTATCTCAGGTCAAATGTGTGTGCTTGTATGTGGGATTTGTTTTTGATTATGTGTGTGTGAGAGACAGAGGAGTTAGCACATATATGTGCGTTCACACACTCCTAAACATACATGTGGAGGCCAGAGTACAATAGGTATCCACTCTGTCACTCTCCATCTTGTTCCCTTGAGACAAAATCTCTCACTGAGCCTGGAGCTGGGCTGGCAGCCAGGAAGCCCCATGATCCTCCTGTCTCTACCCCACAGCGCTGGCTTAGGCCATCCCCCGACTTTAACACATGTGCTAGGAATTCAAGCTCAGGTAAGAACATGGCGAGTGCTCTTCCTGAGCCATCTCTCCAGTCCTCAGTCATTCGCATCACCATTAAATTTCTTGAATGTTATACTTATTTTAGCAAAACATTTGCCTGTAGGTGTAGATTTTCATCAGGACCTCAGTTAGCTCTGATCTGCCAGCTCCTTCCTGAATAACTCCTCAGAGACTTATTAAGTGTGCTTGGCCGATAGCTCAGGCTTATTACTACAATCTAAATTAACACATTTCCGAGCTTCCATCCAGAGGGCCTTCGGAGTGATCCTTCGTCTGGCGAAGGACGGCTATGCAGTCGGAGGCCCACATTGGAGCAACGGATTGAGCCCCCCGAGGTCCGGAGGGGGAGCGGAAGGAGGAGGAACATGAAAGACGAAATCAGTACTGCGAGGAATGCTATCACCCACTGATACAAGGGAACGGATCTGATGAGAATTTACCAGGGCCAGTCGGACTGGGACTGAACGAGGACGTGATCTAGCCAGATTCTCGGAATTTGGCTGGATTCTCTGACTGTGGCTGGCCCGGGGTCTTTCTGAAAAGCCATTGACTATGACACTGGGACCTGTTTCCTCTGCATATGCTGGATTTTGGGGATCCAGTCTGTTTGGACGCTCACCTTCCTGGACCTGGAGGGAGGGGGAGGGAGCTGGAGCTTCCCACAGGGCAGGAAACCCTGACTGCCCTGGGGGACGGAGGGGAAGGAGGGGGGGAGTGGGGGGAGTGGGAGGGTGTTGGGAGGGGGGGGCGGAAATGGAAACTTTTATAATTTAATAAAATTTACTAAAAAAAAATAAATAAATAAATAAATTAACACATTTCCATTAATCTATGAGCTGTCACGAGGCTCGTGGCTTTTACCTCTCCTGCATGTCCTGTCTGCTTTCCATCTGGCTGGCAACTCCTCTGACTCTGCCCTTCTTCCCAGAATTCTCTCTGCCCAAAAATCCTGCCTAGATAATGGTCAATCAACTTTTGGTTTTTCAAGACAAGGTTTCTCTGTGAAAGAGTTCTCAAACTCACAGAGATCCACTGCCTCCTGAGTGCTGGGATTAAAGGCGAGCGCCGCCACCACCTGGCAGCCAATCAGCTTTTTATTCGTGACGAGAGCATATTTACAGCATACAAGGATTGCTGTGCAGCCTTCGCCATGTGCAATTTCACTGTTTTCTGATAGATTTTATTCGTCTGACAGTAACCACCATTCTGAGCTGGGTAAGAAGCTCGCAGGCTGGGTTTCTTTCTCATCTTAATCATAAGAAAATGAGGAATTTTGTGAGACAGAGTTGGGAAAGGGTCAACTGGGGTCAGAAGAAAGGGCGAGGTTGTGCCGGCGCTGCCAGTCAGGCCGCTTGGACGTCCCGAGAGTCCCTGTTCTCTAAAACACTGCATAGTGTCTCAACACTGGGAGGTCAAAGCATTTGGATCTTCACTCACCTCAGAGTGTAAAACAGCTGAGCGGCTTATAATTTGTGTCTATGCAAAAGGTGCTTGTTAATTTTAAATTATTTTTAGACCAGGCTAGCCTCAGACTTAGAGATCCACCTGCCTCTGCCTCCTGAGTGCTGGTCGTTCGCCACCTGCCTGGCTTCCTCGGCTCTTCTACAGTTAAGGAACTCTTGCTAACCAGGCCTGCCTGTCCTTCATTGCACTTGTTTTTTTTTTTTTTTAGACTTAATAGGTGTTTTGCCTACATGTATATTGCAATGCCCACAGAGGCCAGAAGAGGGTGCTGTGTCTACATGTGTGTATGCAGTGCCCGCAGAGGCCCGAAGAGGGTGTCGATTCTCCTGGAACAGGAGTTAGACAGTTGTGAGCTGCCATATAAGTTCTGGGTACTGAACCCAGGCCCCTGCAAGAGCAGCAAGTGCTCTCTTCACCGCTGAGCCATGGCTCCTGCCCTATTCCAAGATGATTTTTGGTTTTGTTTTGTTTTTCAAGATAGGCTTTCTCTGTGTAGCCCTGACTGTCTTGAAACTCACTCTGTAGACCAGGTTGGCCTCCATCTCGGAGATCGGATGCCTCTGCCTCCCAAGTGTAAGTGCTGGGAATAAACGCATGGGCCACCACTGCCAGGCTGTTTGGGTTTTTTCGTTCAGTGAGAGACCTGTGTAAAGGTTTGTGATGGTCAAGGTCTGACTAAGCATTCCCACCCCTGATTATTCAGTAACCAGCTTCGAGCCTCCCAACCTTTGTCAGTCACTTATGTAATGGGACCTGTCTACACAGCCCAGTCTGTTGACCCACCCGTTCCTGCTCTAGCCAGGTTATCTGATGGGTAAGTGGAGTTACTGGGAAAAATCTGGAAGGTGCCTGAGTCCAGGTGAAATCAGATTCTGGAGTTAACCTACAGGCAACTACTGAATGCTAGGCAACCAGAGAGACCCAAGGGAGATCCTGGCTTCCCA